TCCCCAGCCCTAGGACACGAGGGATACTGTTTTTTTTTTTTTTTAATTTTTATTGTGATTGGGGTGAAAGAGCAAATTCATTTTCCATACAGCAATTCATACACATTTTGTCTCATGACATTGACTGCAATTTTCCCACTTCCTCCCCAAAGTTACCTCTTCCCTGTGTCCCCCCTCCCCCCAGCGGTCTCCCTGTGCATACACAGCGCTTCTGTTCTCCCATGACTGATCTCTCCAAGGAGTGTATCTACTTAATTAAATGTTCAGCCCACATGCCAGTCATTTATTTGGCTGGAAGCCACAGGAGTGAGTTCAGTTCCAGACCTGAAGGGCAGCTAGTGGGCAGGGATATTGTTTTATTTAGGGTCTCCAAGGCCCTGGCACGTAGAATGAGAAACAAAGTTGTTGGGTAAATATATGAAAACATTCAATATCAGTGACATAAAGAATAAATGCAGATGACCAAAAGATAAATACTTTACATTACTGGGAGGCGACATGTGGACCCTGGGAGGCTGCCTAATGCATTTACTAATATCCCGCCTGGAAGACTCCGGAGAAGAGAAGGAAACCTTCCACCCCAAGCAGTCAGAATAATGGGCACTAAAAGGAGGTGTGGTGGTGCAGTGCCTAAGGCATTTGGCTGCTAACCAGAAGATTGGCGATTCAAACCCACTAGCAGCTCAGCAGAAGGAAGATTAGGCAATCTATTTCCTTTAAGATTTACCGCTTTGGAAACCCAATGGGGGTCGCTATGAGTTGGAACTGACTGGATGGCAGTGGGTTGCTTTGTTTAAAGACATAGAATCCTAATTACTAATACTTAACAAAACTATATTACCATTCAGGGGCCACCTCAGGTCCCTTCAATTCCACTCTTCTCCCACCCTGGACACCCATACACGCGGTTCTTCTCTGGGGGGCCTGGCAGCCTCGCAGCCTCAGTAGAAGTGGCATCCTCTTGGACTGAATTCGCAGCCCAGGTACGCGTTCCACCAGTGATCACACAAGTCCTCTGCAAGCATCTCAAAGTCCAGTGAGTTTAAACAGTGGAGAAAAACTGAACCTCTTCTTTCGCCGTTCCCCGAACCAGCGCCACACCCCAATCGCGCATGTGCTGGCACGGGACTCGTATTGTCCCCTACAGCACTCCGTAGAGTTCCCTTGGCGAGCTCCACGTAGGCCGCGCAGGCGCTTTGTCTGCACCCTTCACCTGCTGCCGTTGTCGCCGCCGCCGCCGGGGCTGGATGGGGGGTCTGGGCCAGCCAGAGGCACCCGGAAAAAAGAGACGCGGCGGCGGCGACGCCGACACCTGCACCTGCAGGGCGAGTGTCCCGAGCTGTCTGCGAACCCAAAGAGGAGACGGCGAGGCCCGGCCCCCGCAGTCCCTAGTGTAGAGAAGGCGCCGCGGCGGCGGCGGGAGTGACTCTCTGGGCACCCGCCCTCAGGTTTCATTCACACTCAGGTCCCAGTGCTGCGCCATGTTCAAGAAACTGAAGCAAAAGATCAGCGAGGAGCAGCAGCAGCTCCAGCAGGCACTGGCTTCTTCTCAGGTACGATGGCCTCCTTTCTTAGTTCCCAGCACACCTTGACCCCGGCTCGGAGGTGATAAGGGGAAGTTCGATCGTGACCCTTGACCTCTAACCTTAAGACTTACAAAGCACCACACTGAGAGTGAGCTCTTGGAAACTCAGGGCCTCTGTTATTTTTGATCCCTGTTCCGCCGTCCAGAACTCCGGGAACGAACGGGGTAGTGTAGAGTGGGGGGGTGGATCCTTCGTGACATCGGACCTCAGAGTTTTCCCCTAATGCCCCGTCCCAGTCTAAGGATGAGTGCAAGGAGCTCGGATCTTACATTTCTGATCCATTTGGAAGGTTTTCCCTACCCACTTGTGGATGCGGGCGAGGTGGGAAATCCCTTGGAAGTTGACCTCAAATTGAGCTCCCCTCTTCGAACCCAGACCCAAAGCTGATTACTGAGGGGTTAGGATCCCGCAGAACTCCTCACGCATGGCAGAGATCTCATAACCGTGGCCCAGGGGTGAGGGCCGAGGGTCGAGCCATCCGAGGCCAGGCTCCTGGCAGGAGCGGTGGGATCTGGAGAGAGGTGGCTGCTGGGCTGGCGTCCAAGGCCTGAGGCTGTCACGAGTTAGTCACTTCGCATAACTTGGTTGATCCGGGACTGGCGGAGGGGCAGGTACTCTGAAGCTTGGCTGCCCCTTTGCTCTGTGCTGAGCATTTCTCTTCTTGCTGCTTTTTGCTGCTCTACGCCCTGTGGTTATGTTTGATTGATTTTAAAGAATGCAGCTGCTTCAGGAAATGACAGTTTCCAAGGGAAAAGGGGGCGTGTTAGTAGTGTTAATTTAAAGAAACAGTCTCGTACACTGTTAAAGAGTACGTTTTGATGCTGGCAGCACATGTTCGCAGAGAAGATGAATGGCTTCTGCTACGTTTCTTCCCAGCCATTCTCAGTGTCAACAGATTGGGCAAACCTCTCTCTTAATTTTAGAGTTTCTGGTGTTTGCCTGTTGTTACAATAAAGTATGACTTTTGACTGTTGTTGTTACGTGCCATGGAGTCGGACCCGACTCAAAGCGACTCCTCCTTGGGTTTCAGAGGCAGATCACTACAGAAGTAGATTGCCCCATCTTCCTTCCGAGGAGTGGCTGGTGGGTTTGAACCGCCAGCCTTCTGGTTAGCAGTTAAGTGCCTTAGGTACTATGCTACCAGAGCTCCTGACTTTTGACTAAGGGGAGACATTTCTAATAATTTTTATAATAATGTTTATCTTGTATTTAAAGAACTAGTGCTGAGTTTATTCTGAAACTGTGATTTGAAATTGCTCTCTTAAAATTACAGTTTATATAGAATAAAACAGTGCTTGAGAATAACATTGTAACGTGACACTGAAAGTTTGTTCCTTCTTCCAAGTGTAAATAGTGATCAAAATTTAAATAGTAAGGATTTTAATTTTGGTATGAGCTACTACAGTCTTTTTTAACTTTACAAAAAAAAAAAAAAAAAGTGAGACAGAGATGGGGAACATGGGCATTTAAGTGAATGAAAGGCACTTATATTTGGAAATGTTGATCCAGGATTCCACTTGTAGAAAATTATTCAAAGAAAGTGTTTTAGGATGTATTAATGACATAGCTACATGGATTTTTGTTTCAATGTTATAATAGGTAAAAACTGGCTGAAAATGTTCAACAGTGAGCAACTGGTTAAATAAATCAGACATTGGGTTTTTACACAGCTTTTAAACTGAATCCTTACTATGTGTCAGGCATTTTGCTGATTACTTTACCTGAATTATTTTATTTAATTCTCACATAAACATATGATGTAGATAATACCATTATTCCTCTTTGATACATGAGAAAGTGAGGCTTAAAGAAGTTAAGTAGTTTGTCTAGTGACATCCACCTGTTGTTGTAGCTCACAAGAAACTAACATGGAAAAGTGTTTTCATTAAAAGATAGATGAAAAACCAGCATGTAATATGTGATCACAGTTTGGTGGTAAAATATGTATATGTTCATATTTATACTTATACACATACGTAGTGAAAGTAATTTAGGAAGGAAGGAATTCCTTTGGGAGCTCTGGTGGCGTAGTGCTTAAGGCATTTGACTGCTAAGCAGAAGGCTGGCGGTTCAAACCTACCAGCCACTCCTTGGAAGGAAGGTTGGGCAATCTACTGTAGTGATACCACCATGGAGACCCAAGGAGGGGTCGCTAGGAGTTGGATCCGACTTGACGGCAGTGAGTTTGGTTTGGTTTGGTTTGGTTTAGTCAGGAAAACAGGTTGTTTTTAGTAGTAATATTAAAGCTAGTCATAGGGTAAGCTAGAGCTCCTGGTTTCTACAGTTTAGTACTGTCGTCGTAGTTAGTCTTTGGTGAGACAGTATTGAATAAAAATCTTTATGTACAAAAGATTTAAAACAATCCTTTATGATAAATTCACATTTTTGAATATATGTGCCTTTATCAAGAAGTCAAAAAAATTGTCATCAGTTACCTACTGATTGTTGTTGTTATGTGCCATCGAGTCGGACCCGACTCATAGCGACCCCTCCTTGTCTGCCTCGGAAACTCAAGGAGGGGTCGCTATGAGTCGGGTCTGACTCGATGGCACATAACAACAACAACAACAACATAACTACGGAAGTAGATCGCCCAACCTTCCTTCTGAAGAGTGGCTGGTGGGTTTGAACCACCAGCTTTCTGGTTAGCAGTCAAGTGCCTTAGGCACTATGCTACCAGAGCTCCTACCTACTGATAGAAACCTGATTTTGCTTGTAGATCCTCAGCTATTCTGAACCCTTTAGTAATGAGAGGGAGCTCTGGTGGCATAGTGCCTAAGGCATTTGACTGCTAACCAGAAGGCTGGCAGTTCAAACTCACCAGCCACTCTTCGGAAGGAAGATTGGGCCACCTACTTCTGTAGTGATACTGCCTTAGAAACCCAAGGAGGGGTTGCTATGAGTTGGATCCGACTTGATGGCAGTGTGTGTTTGTTTTTTTTTTGGTTTTAATAATGAGAACTTCTGGATAATTGTTTTCATTGAGTTAAAGATTTCTTTCAAGCATTAATTAAAAACAAACCAACACAATTTTGTTTTTTAGTAACAATCATTTTGCAACAGATTACATACAACCTTATTTTCCTAAGCAAAGGATCTTGGATGTGTATAATATTGTCTTATATGATATTTTGTGCAAAATAAGAGCAAGTACCTGAGGGATTCTTTAATGTACTAACACAAATTTTGAGACATTTGTTTGAGTCTTTGAAGGATTTCTTGTGCATACTGTCTTATTCTTAGCCTGCTTTCCATAGATGAGATTACCTGATAAGTATGTTTCAAGTAAGGTGTTATCAGGTGTAGACAAGTCCAAGACAGAAGAATCGTTTGCACCACCACATTCACAGTTTTCCAACAATGACACTGATATTGTGTGGAATCATTAAGGTTTTGGAAGGATTTTTACCAAAACAGACAGCCTTCCAATAACTTCTGTTTTGTTTATGCTAAATTATTTGAATCTTTACTTGGTGGATATTGAGTATTTGCTCAACTCTCTGATGATGACTAAAACTAAAAATACAGTTTAAAAAGTTTGACATCGAGATTCACTAAATACTATTTCTTACAGAGCTGATTCAATAAAAGAATATTTATAATAGTATACATATTGTAATTTTTTTTGATATGTGTGTTATGTGAATAAACATTTTTTGAAATTAAGTCAGCCTTTTAAAAATACTACTAAAACTTGAAAAAATTTTAAAGTATTATTTTTTGGTAAAGCAAATGGAAAGAGCTGAATGGAAGGTTTCAAAGAGCAGCTGGAGAAGACAAAGTCAGTTATTATAATGAAATGTACAAAGACCTGGAGTTAGAAAACCTGAAGAGAATGCTCGGCATTTCTCAAGCTGAAAGAACTGAGGAAAAAATTTAAGCCTCGAGTTGCAATATTGAAAGATTCTATGGGCAATATATTGAAA